GGCAATGTTACACACAGGAAAATGTTCAGAAAATTCATAGCAAAATATACGAACAAATAATTTGTCAATAAATTTGAAAAAAAAAGTTTGATTCTTAGAGATAATAACTGGACCAAGCGTTATTTAAGTTTGCCTTATTGTTGTCTGAGGGCTAGAGGTGATTAAGTCCACATTCCCAGTTTTGAGAAAAACGGATTATTAGGGCAATGTTTTTTAAAATAGTTTTAGTAAGAGTTTTACGGCACTTGCAACACAATAAGGTCATTCAAGTGCCGACGATTAGAGGTGTTACAAGAGAGTAACTAACACAAAAAAGAAAGAGGGGAGATACAGAAGATCGATAGTTTTTTTTGTAGGAAAGAAGAAGCAAACCACACCAGAGCACCCGCCAACCACTCACTAGGGCAAGGTTTAATAGGCAACTCTTGAACATAGATTTAGATACAACAGGAATTATGATTGTGGAAAAACTACAGGATGGAAATGGCTTGATATTTACAGACAAGACGCAATACTGATTAAATGCCACTTTTTAATGGTATTTTTGGACTTTTGGCCAAAATGGACATGGTCGCCTCTGGCTGTCAGCCCCCGATATGGTGAAGAAAAAAGAGACTGGGACAAAGACATTGTAGTTAAGGTAAGTTCAACATAGCACTAGACTAAACATAGGCATACCGTCTTTCAAACCACAAAAAAATGTCTCGTGGAACTGAGGTCAAACAGAAACTGTAGGTTACATGTAGTGAAGCCGGAAAAGATCCAGAGGTTTGGCACTAAGACAAAACTACTTCACGTCTACCTTTCACACATAAAGCCGCCAATTCTTAAACAGCATATTTATTTAGAAGACATAAGGTCATATGAACGCCAAGGGGTGGATGTCAACAGAGAAGTCCAAACAGGGAATCTGGCTTACTCTGCTCACCTCTCTAGCCTCAACAGCAAAAAGTCTGCTTCGACTATCAAGGCACCCCGGAAATACCAGTTCACATGAGAGTGACAAACATACAAAAGTAGAGGGGAATGACGATAGTTAGGATGAGGAAAGAAAAGGCAGCAGTTCCCCCTATGTTGTTCCGGCACAGTATGAGCATGACATTGATAAATCAGCCCATTTACAAGTCTACTATACATAAGAGCATGTTAATATCCCCCCTTTGGGAATGGCATAAAGACAATTCAGTCAGTAGAACTGCCCTGGCTACCATAACATATTTTCTGCACGTTGAAATACTTTAAAGAAAAAGATGCTAAAAATACATGACAAGACCAGGGACTTTTTAGGACATTGGAATGGAAGGAAAACTGGAATGACTTCAGCGTACTTGGTAATACAAAATCATCTTGCGGGGGGAAAAAAAAAATGTATAGTCGTGAGGAATGTAGAAGGAAAATAAAATGACGAGACACCGGACAACATTTCAGGCTGGAATGTATCAGTAGGAATGTTGGTCATATTACTAATATATTAGTGCCGGTCAGTTTGGTCAAATATGGCTTGATTGCTGGACGCATTTGAGTGTGTGCCTAAAGAAAGGTACCAAATGTCGCCACAGACCATTTTGAGCTACAGGCTGATAATGACCAAAAAATCACTTTTTTAATCAAAATGTATTTCCATTTAAAAAATGATAGTTTTGCCATTTTTTAAACAATGTGTTACAACAGTTTTCATTGATTTGACTTCTAAATATTTTGTGGGTAGAGTATATTTTAAAAAGATAATAAAAACTGCTTTTAAACGGTGTTAAAATCTATTCTTGAAGCACGTTTTTCTCTTTCCCGCAGTTTTACCATTGAGTTCTAATCATGATATTGATGTCAACGGAATGATGATTTGGAAATGAATTTTCCATGAACAAATACATTTGAAACAATAGAATCATCGCTTTTTCCATGGTCGTATGTGTTCTAAACTTGAATGCTAATTTTCATAAAAATTAGATCTTTATACCCTACCTCTCAAAATGTGCAATATCTCAAAAACTACTTGAGATTTCTCAAAAATGAAAAAAACACCGTGTTCAGCATTGAATGTCCTATTAGGTACAATCTTTATCTAAAAATGGTTAAAATCCGACTTTTGGAACCATTCTGTAGGCGCACACCCATTTACAGGCATGTTAAGAAAGAAAAAAAAACCCATCCTGTTGAGACATTGAACAAATATTACAACAATGAGAAAAGTAGAGAGTAGCGAAAGTGAAGATCAGTGGGCTCAATAACAATGGCCACATTTTACCAGGATCAAACTACGCTAATGACATCTTTGAAAAGATTTACACATACACTAAGACTTGCAAAAAGGTGAATAATCTTGAAATACAAGCTTTTGTGACGAATGAAAAACAGTGACGATTGTGCTAGCCCTTCTCATCACTTGACTTAGGAATGTGGAGACAAAAGAAATGTCCCAAAATACGTGAGACGTGCGGACAAAATGAGTTACTTCTCGCCATCCACAAATGGAGATATTGGCCAATAATCGACATTATGGTCAAATTTGTAGCTTTTCTATTCATGCCATATACTTCAAGTATAACATGCCTTTTATTATTTCATACTTATAAATCGTAAAAACTTCACCTATAAGCGTGATGTATCTAATCTTATAGGGCTCGAATCCGAGAAGTAACTCATTTTGTCAGCACGCTCCACATATGTGAAAAGTCATGAAAAGTGGAACATAAAACAACATCACAGAAGTAGGGCATGATACTTTATCCGAGCTATCGTGAGTCAAATGAATAATCTTCGGTGCATCAAAACACAGAATGATAATAACAGTCGTATTTCACCAAGAAGAAAGTAATGAACAAAAAAAAAAGACCATAAAGAAGTAGAAGCAGCAGACCACACTAGAGCAAAAGAAGTAGAAACAGCAGACCACACTAGAGCACCCATCAACACAGTAACAGGTGAGTGGCCATAATGACAAGACAGGCGGAAGCAAAGTCAGAACTGGGACACGACTCGGCTACACGAACAAACAGATGGGACTTTTACCGCACAACGGGATGATAAAAACTTAGTTTTAGTAAGAATTGTACGGCACTTGCAACACAGTATGGTCATATAAGTGCCGAAGATTAGAGGTGTTACAAGAGAGTAACAAACATAAAAAAGAAGGAGGGGAGACAAGGACGATACATGTTTGGTAGGAAAAAAGGAGCAAACCAAACCAGAGCACCCGCCAACCATCCACTGTAGCCCAGTCTGATGGCAGTTGCAGTAACAGAACATCTCATAAAAGTTGAGAGAGAGACCAACAGGGTGATCTGACAGTTTTAGTTTTAGTAGAGGTTTTACGGCACTCGCAACTGCATAAATCCATATGAGCGTAGGTGATCTGATAAGCATAACGATTCGAAAAGAAACACACTCACAAATGTACATAGCACACTCTATAGGTTCTAATTAACTACCTTCAGAACAAGCTAGCAATAATATGTGAGGCAGCGTGGCGGAATCAGGCTCTCGTCAAAATAATCAAAGCAAAGAAACTTGCATTCGTCCGCAGGTTTGTGAATTTTTATCAAATGTTTTGTTTTTGGTTCAACACCTTTCATGCCCATTAAAGAACTCATTTCTTTGTGGACTTTTCTGAAAAACGTTGATTAAAGGCACAAAAAAAGTAAATTTTCAGTTACCACGGACTATTAAGATAAGGAAATAACTAATCTTTGGCGGCCATTTTCTCACTAATTTTACCTCTGAAAACAGGCGACCCCCACCTCCTCCTTATTTTGCAAATATCTCGACTTGTATTCAAGATAAATGGATATTTTTTTTCATCCAAATAAAGCCAAGTGAACAACCTTCAAGATGATACCAATAACTCCACATGCCCAAGAATTGACGAGAGCCTGATTCCACCACGTTGCCTCACATATGGTATAGCACAACAGTCTCATTTTTTTCTTTCACACTCAGGATAATTCTACCGGTTCAGTTTGGCACTCAAAGACATCACTCAAAGACATCACGTAGATGAAACATTTCTTCTGTCACAATGTCTAACATGTCACCATAAAAAAAAACACACCAAAAAAAAAATTCAATCTATTACTTTGACTGTGTCATGCAACAAAAATATCTAAAAATGGAATAAACAATCAAGTGACATTTGGCTGATAATCTAAATAAGAAAAAAAAAAGAGATCACCCAGAGTAGACAACGACTCGGACAATAGTGGGCCCACGCCAGCTTTTGCTTTAGTAAGAGTTTTACAGCACTTGCAACACACACAATAAGGTCAAATAAGTGCCGAAGATGAGAGGTGTTACAAGAGAGTAACAAACACAAAAAAGAAGGAGGGGAGATAAAGACGATAGATGTTTGATAGGAAAGAAGGAGCAAATCACACAAGAGCACCCACCAACCACCCGCATGTCTACTTTAGTGACTGTAGAACACTCAGGAACAAAACTGAGCCAAGCTCGCTCAAACCCTCGTTGTAAAATGGAAACAACACCACAACAGTCAGCGTCAGAACAATCACGTCCAAGTTAACAGCATGAAATGATAAAAGAAAGCTTCGTCACAACAGTAAACACGTTGAAATACCAGACACTTCAAACACACAACACCTTGCCACACCTCGTCCTCAGTGTTGGGGTCACAACAGTAAACATGTTGAAATACACACAACACCCAGGTGGGAATAGGTACCCGGCTATAGACAGCGAAAGATCTTGTCAGTTTGTTAGTGTTTGAGCGCTTAGTCGGCTGCTCGCACTGTATGCTTCCCGGGAAGCTGAGAATGTTTCGGAGTGTTCTATGGTCTGCTGGGGTAATAATATAGTGTAAAGCGCATAGAGCCTAGTGCTGAGCGGGGATATGCGTTATACAAATGCTATCTATTATTATTATTATTATTATTAACACCTTGTCACACCTTGTCCTCAGTGTAGGGGTCACTACAGTCAGCACATGTCCATCTCCCCCCCCCCCCCCCCCAACCCTCACCCTTTTCAGGATCCAATTTCAAAACACATTCACGAGAAGACATCAAGTCTTGTATTATCCCAGGATTGTGGGTAAAATAAAAAATCAAACAAAAAATGACAACTTATTTAAAGTTTCACGTGGCCAGAAGACACATATTCGGCCACAAATAAAGTTCTTCCTGTTGTAGTGTCCGGCCAAAAGCTCTGTTTTCTCCAGGACTGTCGCTAATACTGTCTCCATCTGACCCACCATTGCACACACACACACATTGGTCTAGCTTCCCCTCCGTCGGGAGTCCCTCTCACCTCCATACTCGACATGTGTTGTCTTTGCTTCCTGAACAAGCGACAACAAGAGAAACGGTTTGTTTTAGTAGAGGTTTTACGGCGCTAAAGGGAGGGATCAGCTAAGTAAAAGGGTCGATAAAAATACATAGACAGACAAAGAGACACAGGGAAAAATAGAAAAAATATGTAATTAAAGAATGAATAAAAAGAGACAAATATCTACCGAAATATACTATCAAATCACCTTAGCAAATAGATTTAGGAAATAAACAGACAATTACAATAACTATAACTATATTAATAATAATAATAATAATAATGAACATATCTTAATAATAATCATCATCATAATCAAATATAATAATAATAATAGCTGTAAAGCCCATAGAGCATGCTGCAGAACACAGCTATGCACCATATAATAACAATACTAATGAAAGTCATAATAAAAACTGCAATAATACTTTTAAAAAATAAAGATAATAACAATAACAATCATGATAGTAACTCTTTAACCATGGCTGGACAGTACCACTGTCCGATACGAAGTTATTATTGTATTATGGTACGGGCCGAATATAAAAAAGTAATAGGGCTCATGTATATATGGCGTATATATCTTACCTGTAATAATTGTGTTGCCCTCGTAGTTGAAAGCACAGCTGAAGATCTCGTCCGTGTGGCCCTCCAGAATTTGCCGACAGTTGCCGGTCTCCGGGTCCCAGAGTCGGGCCGTTTTGTCGGCGCTGGCGGTCATGACCAGAGTGCCTTGTGGGTTGAACGTGATCTGTGGACACGACACACGACAGGCATGTCGCAAGTATTCCGCGTTATTGATAAAGTTAAAACGAGCCTGTGATAACAAATAGCCTTTACTTTCTCAATCCACCCTCCTTCCTTTTGTGAATTTGCTATTCTATGTATTTTATTTGGTCGCTTTTAAGGAGAAGCGGGCTAGTCCAAATTTCCGGGGTTTCCAGAAATCTTGACCTACACCAAAAGTGGGCATTTCCCTTATAGAGAAATTTGGTTGGTGTGTATATTTGTTTGGTTATAGAGAAAACTCTTCTTGTCTTTTATAGAAACTGAACAAGGGGCAAAAACTTTACCTTTGATTTTCTCAAAACAGCATTTTCCGGGATAGCCCTCTTGTGCTTAAAAGTGACCATTTATGAATTTCATTATCTATTTATTTATATATATAGGTTAACCATTGTAACTCAAATTTCCCCACGAGGATCAATTAAGTATAACTTATCTTTATTCATTATTTTATTTATTATTAACTCTTTATCTCCAGCAAGCCGCTCCCAGCGGCTCGCAGTTGGAGCAGTTGTGCTGTTGAGCCGCTGGCAGTGGCTTGAGCACATTCCTTCGAGATGACTTCAATGTCAAATCACTTTTCTACAATCACAGAAAACAGGTCTCTTTCACAGTGAGTTCATTTACTGGATAAAGAACAATCAAAATAGATTCGCTTGTTTCGATTCAATGATCATTTTAGTGACGTATTTGTTAATTTTAGATTTTGTGCCAAAAGAGGTCCCCAGCATGGTGGGTTTACCCCCCTCGGAGATGAAGAGTTAAAAGTGGGGTCTTTGGAGGATCAGCTTCTTACTCTTACATGGAGTGTTTGTATTTAGAGACTACTGCATAATATAGAGTCAGAATAAGCATAATGTGTATTGCTCTTTAGAATATGTATCTACGAGTATATATAACTCCAGAGGTCTTGTAATCAAATTCCTGCATGTGGTTGAATGATGCATCTGATGTGATATGCACATTTTTGTCAGCTTTACTTCTCTTTTCATGTTGAATTTTAATGAGAGTAATATATAAATTAGATTTTGTATGTATACCTGCATGTGTTTTTACGGTCCTGTACAGCCAAGAAAAATTTCCCTCTGGGATAATAAAGTATTATCTTATCTTATCTTATTTTATCTTATAGATATATAGAAAAGAGGTGATGTTGTCAAGGAGTCACATGACCAGGACCCACTTAGAGGCACAAAAGACAACATAAAGAAGAAAAGAGGTTTTTAGTTTTAATGAGAGTTTTACGGCACTTGCAACACAATAAGGTCATATAAGTGCCGAAGATTAGAGGTGTTACAAGAGAGTAACAAACACAAAAAAGAAGGAGGAGAGAACAGGACAATAGATGTTTGACAGGAAAGAAGAAGCAAACTACACCAGAGCACCCGCCAACAACCCACGAAAAGAAGTTTATCATCATCGTTATCTTCATCATCCTTATCATCAACATCATTACAGTCCAAACAACAATTCCCCTTTTACTTGTTTTGTTTTTCTCGAGGCATACCAATTTGTACAGTGACACATTTTTACGTAACTTGCAAATTTCAGAACCAAAATGAGAACACGTGAAAAACAAAACAAAATAAAACAAGCAAAGCAAAAAAAAAAAGGAAAGAAAGAAGAAAAAAAGAAAAAGAAAAAAAAAGAAAAAGAAGAAAAGAGGTGAAGACGTTGTGGGAGGGTCACCTTGGATATCTCTCCCTCGTGGCCGACAAACTTGGAAAGCTGCTGATTGGTCACCGCGCTGTAACAGATGGCGGTGTTGTCGGCCGAAGCCGTGATCACCCGCTGACCGATGCAGTCAAAGCCAACGTCCAGGATCTCGTCCGAGTGGCCACGCAACGTGGAGATGCAGCGTCCTGCAACGAGGGGAGAGAATATGGGAGACAGTGCTTAATGTCAAAGTGAGGGTTTTACAAATTTCTGGAAATATATTATCAAGGGAGACAGTGCTTACTTAATGTCAGAGTGAGGGTTTTACATTTCAGGAAATATAACATGGGAGACAGTGCTTACTTAATGTCAGAGTGAGGGTTTTACATTTCAGGAAATATAACATGGGAGACAGTGCTTACTTAATGTCAGAGTGAGGGTTTTACATTTCGGGAAATAATATCAAGGGAGACAGTGCTTAATGTCAGAGTGAGGGTTTTACATTTCGGGAAATAATATCAAGGGAGACAGGGCTTAACACTTTGCCGCCACAAGGCTCATATAGTAAAAACTCTTGCCATCAAAGGCAATGGCATTTTGGGGAAAATCCAAAGAAACTGGGTGGAAGACATCGCCGACCGGCGAGTTGATGCGGCGAAGTGTTAATGTCAGAGTGAGGGTTTTACTTTTCAGGAAATAATATCAAGGGAGACAGAGCTTAAGGTCAGAGTTTAGTTCAGTCTTAGTTTTATTTCAATAGGAGAGTTTTACGGCACTTGCACCCCAATTAGGTCAAATATGTGCTGAAGATTAGAGGTGTCAAAGTGCCCACTGGAAGACTGGATCGGTTCGGTTTAGTTCAGTTTGTTTTCAGTAAAAGTAAAAGTAAAGATGTTCCTGCATCCGATCTGGACATTGGGGACTGCCTTGTTAGTGAGACAACTTCCTGGGCCTTCGTCATATTGTGGTAGGACGGCCAGTTCCTTTCCACGCCGCCTTTACTCTCCAACTCGAAAGTCAGGTACTCATTACTGCTGGGTGGGCAGGAGGGGGCGAAAAAAATCCGTGTCTGAACCGAGGTTCGATCCCGGACTTTCCGCTTCGGAGACAAGTGCACTAACTGCTCCGCAACCGCACCCTCACACAGTGCACACTAAGAATAGACACTTGCCTCAAATCGATTGCCAGAGACCATGTCAGCTTCTGCTATACCCAGACAATTGCATATGGCCTGGTGCTGTTGGCAATTGTGCAAGCAACTGAAACTAGCATCTCTACTCACCAGACGCTCGGTCCCACAGCTTGCAGGTGTTGTCCATAGACCCTGTGGCGATGAGGGAGCAGTCAAAGTTGAACTGGGCGCTGCTGATCTCTGCTTTGTGACCAATCAGGGTGTGGATACGTCTGAACAAACAAACAAACAAACAAGCAAACATATGATTGGATTGACACAAAACTTGAAATACCACATGGTATACAACAGGCGGCTGTACAAGTTAGGAATACAAAATTGATGGGTAACATTGAGGACTGGAGTGAAGGGCAATGAGGAGGCTGATAATAATAATAATAATAGATAGCATTTGTATAGCGCATATCACCGCTCAACAGCAGGCTCTATGCGCTTTACACTATATTATTACCCCAGCAGACCATAGTACACTCCGAAACATTCTCAGCTTCCCGGGAAGCATACAGTGCGAGCAGCCGATTAAGCGCTCAAACACTAACAAACTGACAAGATCTTTCGCTGTCTATAGCCGGGTACCCATTCCCACCTGGGTGAAGTGAGGAAAATTCCTGTAAAGTGCCTTTCCCAAGGACACAACGTCGGGCCCAGGACGGGATTCGAACCCACGACCTTACGGTTGCGAGTCCGAGAGCCTAACCACTAGGCCACCGACGCCACAATAGGCACGCAGTGTCGTGGTTGATGGTGAGGTGAAATTGGACTAAGGAGAAGTGTTGAAGACCCTGGAGGATAAAGTTGCGGGATGAGGAAGACAGGGAGACAGCAGAACACCACGCAATCATCAGGATGCAGGAAATGGGGATAGAAAGGGAAGAAGGAAGAAAGGAACTACTACTACTACCACTACTAGTATTGTATGGCATTTGTATAGAGCATTTATCTCTACACAGCAAGCTCTCTCCAACACTATTCAGAATGAAGAGGTAGCACCCCAAAAACACTATGGGGAAAACTGACACTACAGATTAAGGCTTCTCAATAGTGGATATAATAATAAACAAAGAAACAGCACGTGAAGTGTTTTGATTGACATAAAGCGTGAAACGTACTTGTTTGATCGCACGTCCCACAGAGACACCGTGTGGTCAAACGAGGCGGTGATCACCTCCGTACCCGTCGAGCTGAAGGACAGAGAGATAATCTCCCCTGTGTGGCCCTGCGGACGAACAAGTTTCCAGTTGGTTAAATTTTAATAAGAGTTTTACGGCACTTGCAACACAATAAGGTCAAATAAACGCCGAAGATTAGGGGAGTTACAAGGGAGTAACAAACACAAAAAAGAAGGAGGGGAGATAAGGACGATATATTATATTTGATAGGAAAGAAGAAGGAGACCACACTAGAGCACCCGCCAACCACCCACTTTCCAGTTTGATTGAGTTTGGGTAAATAGAAGTAGGAAGACACAATAGTGGTCATATAGAGAAGGGAAGAAGTAAAACGAACAACGATAGACAGAAACAACAAATGAAGAGAAAAGGAGCAGGACTTTCCAGTAGCACCCTCCATCCATCCATGTGGATGAACAAAAGCAAACAACATGTAGTGGAACCAATGGCTAAAGGGATGACAATGTGTGGGGTGGGTTTGAGTGATAGTGGGTTTTTTTTTGGGGGGGGGGGGGTTTAGTAAGAGTTTTACAGCGCTCACAACTGCATAAGGTCATTTGAGCACGCGGTTATAGAGTGGAAGACTATTGTTTAGTTTAAGTAGAGGTTTTACGGCCCTCCAAACTGCATAAGGTCATATGAGCGCCAGAAGATCTTACAAGAGAGTAACAAACATAAAAAAGAAGAAAGGGAGGGAGATAAGGACGATAGATGTTTGATAGGAAAGAAGAAACAAACCACACCAGAGCACCTGCCAACCACCCACATGGGGTGGGTTGCTATCCAGTGGGTTTGGGCGATAGTGGTTTTTTCTGATTTTAGTAAGAGTTTTACAGAGCTCGCAACTGCATAAGGTCATATTATGAGCACTCGGTTATAGTGTGGATGACTATTGAGTGAGTTGGTGGTGAGAGTGTGAGAGAAGGGATATGATGGAGTGGGGTTTTGGATAGAGGTGTGAAGGGTGACTTATTTTTTTTAATTTTTGAAGTAGAGGTTTTATGGTGCTCCCAACTGCATAAGGTCATATGAGCGCCAGAAGATTAGAGGTGTTACAAGAGAGTAACAAACATAAAAAAGAAGAAGGGGAGATAAGGACGACAGATGCTTCATAGGCAAGAAGAAGCAAACCACGCCAGAGCACCCGCCAACCACCCACTGACTTACTATTAAACTGGTTCCTGGGGGGCTGAGTTATTATGGAGTGGATTGTGGTAATGGTATGAGGGGTGGGTTATGACCAAGTGTTTTTTTAGTTTTAGTAAGTGTTCAATGGCACTTGCAACACAATAAGGTCATATAAGTGCTGAAGATTAGAGGTGTTACAAGAGAGTAGCAAACACAAAAAAAGAAGGAAGGGAGATAAAGACGATAGATTTTTGATAGGCACCAAGTGGGTAGGTTGCAAACCCCTGCAAATAATAATAATAATAATAAATAGCATTTCTTGTATAGCGCATGTCCCCACTCGAAAGCAAGCTCTATGCACTTTACACTACAGTCAAACCTGTGTAAGACGGCCACTCATTGTCAAGGAGAAAAGTGGCCGAATAAGACAGGTGGCCGTCTTAGGCAGGACTGATCAAGATGAAGAAAACAAACAATTCCCATCTGAGGTCCCAATCGAAAGAAGCCGCATTGTTGTGGTCTTAACTGTTGTTGTTGTTGGTTTGTATTTTGTTTGTATTTTTTATTTCGTTGGTGATTTTGCACAAGGGTGACTATAAAATGAAATGTGTCAGACGAGGAAGACCGAGTGCCATGTTAAAACAAACACATGGGTCGCCACCACTCGGAGAACGAGCGACGCTTCTGTCACAAGTTCACGTTAACATCCATTGTTACAGACTGGGTAAACAGTGACCACTCATCTCACTTACGATTTGTGTATGAGTTCTGGGCGGGGCTTATGGGTTTTGAAGGATCACATGCTTACCTCACCAGCAGCTGAAAATTGGTAGCTATTGGTCAACAGTGGGAGGGGCCTACGCAACATGATCGGTTGGAGGGACTACCTAACAACAACAACAACAGGTGATTGAATTATGACGGCTCGCCCACAACACCAGGGGCCAATGCACAATTTATCACTCAACGCAATGAAGTCAATTCGGTGGCCGTCTAAGACAGGTGTTATTGCTTAATGTGATAGGGGTTGTGTGTTAAAATATGGTGGCCGTCTAAGACAGGTGTTATTGCTTAATGTGATAGGGGTTGTGTGTTAAAATAAGGTGGCCTTGGCTGCGTTGGACAGGTGCCCGTTTTACACAGTTAAATTATATAGAAAAAATGCAAGGGGGAGAATGGAAAGTAGCCGTTTGTACAGGTGGCCGTCTTATAGAGGTGGCTGTCAGGGCAGGTTTGACTGTATATTATTATTATCCCAGCAGACCATAGAACACTGAGAAACATTCTCAGCTTCCCAGGAAGCATACAGTGCAAATACGAGCAACCCCCCGGGCAGTGCCACTGACTGAAGTGTCTTTAGGCCATTCCCAAAGGGGGGACATTTCTCGTTCAAGCATAGTAGAATTGTAAATGGGCTGACTCATGTCACGCTCATAACTGTGCCTGATATTCAAAAGGGAACTGCTGCTTTTTCTTTCCTGATTCTTACTATTGTCATTTTCCTCTACTTCTTTTGTATGTTTGTCACTCTCTTGTGACCTGCTATTTCGGGGTGCCTTGATAGTCGAAGCAGACCTTGTGCTGTTGAAGCTAGAGAGGTGAGCAGTCTAAGTCTGATTCCCTGTAAAGACTTCTCTTTTGACACCCACCCCTTGGCGCTCATATGACCTTATGCAGTTGCGAGCGCCATAAAACCCTCTACTATAATAATAATTAAAAAATACAAGCAACGAACGGGCAACATTTCACCGACCTGGAAAGTGGCCACTTCCGTGCCCTTCTCCACATCCCACAAACGGCATGTGGTGTCCATGGAGCCTGTGGCAATCAGCGTGCTCTGAGGGTTGAAGCTCACACACACCTGTAAGGGAGGTACAAAATGTGTCAAGACGCGGTGGAATCAGGCGCTTGTCAGTTTTTGGGCAGGTGTAGTTATTGATATCACCTGAAAGCTGATTTATTTGCCTTGGTTCCGATGAAATAAATATCCATTTATCTTGAATAGAGTTCAAAATTTTTGCAATTGAAGGAATTGAGGTCGCCTGATTTTAGTAGTGAAATTAGCGAGAAAATAGCTGCCAAAGTATGGTAACTTCAAGAGCTAAAGAGTCTAAAACTGAAAAATGACCTCATTTGGGCCTTTGATCAATGTTTTTCAGTAAAATTCACCTGGAAATGTGTATTTATATGGACTTGAAAGAGGTTAAGCCAAAAAAACAAAACAATTTGATAAAGATTTCCAAACTGGCAGAAAAATGCCTGTTTCTCCAATTTCTTTATAATAATAGATTACATTTCTATAGTGCTCTATCCCATACAAGTATAACCTCCAAGCGCTCTACATACATGACACCTTTACTGAGCCACGAAAACAATAACAACGCATGTGAAATAGGCATGTGAGTACGGACACCATAATGTGTGAGTATTTGTGTGCCAAAAGAGTATATATACGATGTATCTCTAGGGTGGATTGTGTATGAGAATTTGTGAGTCAATGCAGTAAACTGTGTGCGAGTATATGTGTGTCCAAATAGTATATATACGGTGTATCTCTAGGGTAGATTGTGTATGAGAATTTGTGAGTCAATGCAGTAAACTGTGTGCGAGTATATGTGTGTCCAAAGAGTATATGATATGGTGTATCTCTAGGGTAGATTGTGTATTGTATGAGAATTTGTGAGTCAATGCAGTATACTGTGTGTGAGTATATGTGTGTCCAAAGAGTATATGATACGGTGTATCTCTAGGGTAGATTGTGTATGAGAATTAGGGCTTCTATGCGGTACGCTATGTGTGAGTATATGTGTGTCCAAACAGTATATATATTTGGTGTATCTCTAGGGTAGATTATGTATTGTATGAGAATTTGTGAGTCAATGCAGTATACTGAGTGTGAGTATATGTGTGTCCAAAGAGTATATGATACGGTGTATCTCTAGGGTAGATTGTGTATGAGAATTTGTGTGTCAATGCGGTATACTGTATGTGAGTGCGGGTGGTTGGAGGGCACTACTGGTAGGTCCTACTTCTTTATTTTCCCTCTGTTGTTTCTGCTTGTCTGTCTTACTTTTTCCCATCACTCAATTACCCTCATGATGTCGAAGTGCTTCTCTTTACTCAAAAAAAAACCCCAAAACAAAACTGTGTGTGAATACTTGTGTATCCAAAGAATAGCCTATATTGTATGTAAAGTAGTTTTGGATGTGAGACTGCAGGAAAAGATCCGACTCACAATTTCAGCTGTGTGGCCCTTGTAGACATTGTAACACTTGCCGCTGTCAAAACTCCAGATACGACATGTCTTGTCAAAGGAACCCGTCACAATCTTGTCCCTGAGGTGGGGGGGGGGGGGGGGGGGGGTGGGGGTGACGTGGGTGTGGAGGGGTTAGAAAAATAATGTCAAGGTTAACACAACTATAACAGTTAACCACGTACAAACAGCAATAATCACTTTATGATAAAAATTTACACTGTCAGTCACAAAACTAATTGATCCACTATGCAGCCGTGCCAAGGCAGACAGACGTATCGGCAAAAATTGTTTTATTTTTGTAACTTTGTTAAAATCACTACAAATAGGATGTTTCAAAGTGGCAAACAGACGTAACTGAAGTGCCATGCCCATATATTTCCAATGGCAGCGCGACGTAACTCAAAATCATAAAAAGCGCAGATATGTCGCTCTGCCTTGGCACAGCAGTATGGTATGATCACCTATTTATAGAAGGTCATGCAGAAGGTCAGGTATAACGCTTTAAAAACATAATAAGAATAACAAGAATGGTACTACTACTGCTACTACTATTACTACAACAACTACTACTACTACTAATTTTGTATGGCATTTGTATAGAGCATTTGGGTGGTTGGCGGGTGCTCTGGTGTGGTTTGCTCCTTCTTTTCTATCAAACATTTATCGTCCTTATCTCCCCTTTTTCTTTTTTATGTTTGTTACTCTCTTGCAACACCTCTAACCTTCTGGCGCTCATATGACCTTATGCAGTTGCGATCGCCGTAAAACCTCTACTAAAAAACTAAAAGAGCATTTATCTCAACACAGCAAGCTCTCTCCAACACGATTCAGAAAATAGAGGTAGCACCTCAAAAATACTCTGGGGAAAACTTACACTACAGAAAGCTTCTGAATGGTGAATATAATAAAGAAAGAAACAAAACATGTTCAACAACTCCGGAAACTTCTCATATTTTCTTTATCTTCAAAAGCACTAATCATAATCTGACTGTGAATTCTCAAGCTTACAATTTGCACAATTCAGTTATTGAAAGATGCATACTAAATCATGCGATCAATATATTTTAGTTCTAGTAGAGGTTTTACTGCGCTCACAACTGCATAAGGTCATATGAGTGCCAGAAGATTATAGGTGTTACAAGTGAGTAACAAACACAAAAAAGGAGGAAGGGGAGATAAAGACGATAGATGTTTGATAGAAAAGAAGAAGCAGACCACATCCGCCAACCACCAACAATCAATATCTGTTTCTCCCTTTCTACCGGAGAGACAGTGAGACATACCCGTAAGGATTATTGAAGGATATGGCGTAGACAACATTACGGTGACCGTCCAGCGTGTGAACTTCCTCGCCCGAGCTCGTGTCCCACACCTTGCAAGTTCTGTCATAGCTGCCCGTGATGAAACTGGCCAGGGCAAACAGAAAAAGCAACAAATATATAAATATATACACACATATATGAGGCAGCGTGGAGAAATCAGGCGCTCGTAAAAATAATCAAAGCGAAGAAACTGGCATTTTTCCGCAGGTTTGTTAATTTTTATTAAATTTTGTTTTTTGGCTCAACCTCTTTCATGCCCATTAAAGAACACATTTCTGTGTGGATTTTACAAAAAAACTTTGATTAAAGGCCAAAAAAATGCAATTTTTCAGTTTCCATGGTCTCTCAAGCTAAGGAAATACCAATAACTCTACATGTCCAAAAAATTGACGAGAGCCTGATTCCACCGCGTCGTGTTATTATATCACATATATTTATATATATATATAAATAAATACAGTCGATAAGATACTCAGATAGGGTGAGTGGTAACTTTGACCTGATGCAGATATTTAAACGTCATCTCAAACTGACCTTGAGCCCGACTTGTTGAAGGCCACGTTAGTCAGAGGGAGGATGTGAGCTCTCAGCACCTACAGAAGAACAGCGACGGTTAATGCCACCAACCTTGCACAGGACATTATTCACAATTCACACGGTTTAGTTTCAGTTTAGTAAGAGTTTTACGGCACTTGCAACATAATAAGGTCATATATAAGTGCCGAAGATTAGAGGTGTTACAAGAGAGCGACAATCACAAAAAAAGAAGTAGGGGAGATAAAGACGATAGACGTTTGATAGGAAAGAAGAAGCAAACCACACCAGAACACCCTCCAAGCACCCACTTCACATGGTTTGTATGATTTCATAACATAAGATTTTACAAGCATAAAATATTCATATAATTATACAAATGTAAACTATTTACATATTTAAATGCAACGATCAAAGATTCACACAAAATTATATAGTATTCACCATCAGATACTATTCAGACATAATGAAATAATAATAATAAATAGTGGTAAATTATAACTGTTCACAATATAGACATAATAGACCTCCCAAGCAAAAGAATACAATGATGTAACTGATTTCTTCAACTACTTAAGGCCAGAGAGTACTGGACACAACAGGTCATTGACCTTAGAGTGTAGTCTTGTTCAAGCAACTGTTTATCTACAAGAAACCCCAGTGAGGAACCAATATTACAAGTGAAGTACAAAATGGTAATATTTGTCAATATTTCTAAAAGCTTCTAGTGCTCTTTACTATATATATAATAATGAGTCTCACATATATATATTTATCTATGAGCATTGTGCTCTGCCAGGAGACCAGAGAGGAGTCTGAATCGGACAGTGAGACAAAATTCTGAGCACTCACTGCAAGTGCAGACACTTGCGGAGGATGATCTTCTTTCTGAAGATGCTCATGGTCAAAGTAGTAGTACAATAATTACCTTGAAGAGATAAAAATGATGATCGTCTCGTTGAGCAATCTTCTCTTGAAGTCCTGGGCAGCAGTCAAGGCAGGCAACGTTCAAAGTGTGAGTTCTTAAATGTGGTTACATCTTACTAAGATTAAACTTTATGCATTGCATACAATACAACAGACAACTGATTAAGTGGTACGATCGAGTCACAAAGGCTCAACTGTGGGAAAGAAAAAGCCAAAGGCCAGTGAAGGAAGACATACACGCGAAGAAATGGAAATGGGTTGGGCACACCCTGAGGAGACCCCTGACAAGCATCATCAGACAGGCTTTGACGTGGAATCCACAAGGAAAATGTAAGAAAGAAAGACCAAAGATGACATTAAGGTGAGCAGTACAAGCGGAAATGGAAAAGGCGGGGACATCATGGAAACAGCTAGAAAAGGATGCACAGGACAGGCTTCACTGGAGAAATGTTGTTGATGACCTATGCTCCACTGGGAGTCAAACAGAGCAAGAGAGGAGAGAGACAATACAAACTTTGTGTCGCTTTCAGCACTTTAAGGTTATCTGGTCATTTATAGGGTGGGACCTCAGATTTTTAATATTCACATCTGATATGAATGAAGCAAAAAAGTGGGGAGCACTGAAAACTATCTGAACTTGCTACATTAAGACCACAGGTTTGAAACCCTCCATCTGGGTGTGACATTGCATCCTTGGGAGTGACGTTTCATACAAATTTTCCTCACCTGCAAACGAGATTTTTTCGTCCTTATCCGAGAAGACTAGGTGTTAGATCTTACCTACCCTGCGATCAGGGGTGTGGCTGAATGACAGCAGTAAGAAGGAGCCAAGGAGAAGCAGTATAAAGGCAGCAGAAAGAGTCCAGAAGAGGAGGCAAAGGGGTAGAGCGGGGATAGGGCAGAAAGTGGAGACAAAATCAGATGTAAGAACATGATCAGAGAGCAGGAAAGAAGGTGAAAGGATAACTTCTTTTCAGAGAAGAACATTTTCCGTCGCTGTCAGGTTTCGAAACCGGGACTCATAGAATGAGAGGCAGACACCTTATCTCTAGACTAAGAGAACCCGCATTTTCCTTCAGGCTAAAGTGGAGGAAGTGTTGGAACCACTTGGTAACATCTAGATTTATTCTTGAGAAAACACCCAGCAGGAACAGAGGGCCAATGTTGTCAAGAAACAGGCCTTCAAGCTGGTGGATGTGGTCATGGGGTCCAGTAAATCTGACACTATTAGTTCGAAACATACCTAACTATGAGAGAAGCATGTTCTCAAAAAGAGTCAGTAAGCTGAAAACAACACCACGGATACAGAAAACCTTTAGGTGGCAGTAGGAAATGTGCACAGGAAAGGCATACAGAGCTGGGATGTCAGCAGTGAGCAGAAAAAGCCAAAAGAAAATAAATGACATTGCACTAGGGCTCAAATGGCGTTCTTCAGGAAAGCGCACCGTGAAAGCTACACGATGCGAAAAGGCTACGAAATCATTTCTTTTATTTCTTCTAAAGAATTCTTTCCTTCCCCAATCGTTAGAAAAGTTTGTTTCCAAAGCTGTAAAAAAGAGGACTCCCCATATCCTTGACATTAGCCCTACAGGCACGGGGGTATGAAAGGATACGGACAATGAGTTTCTTCACTTGATCCACTTTGGACGGAGTTATGAGTGGCTCCTTCTCCGTGATTTCTTCAACTACTTTATCAATCTCTGTCCTGTGGGGAAAAACAAAAATAATCTAATTTGAATTGGACTTTGGTGTTTGTTGAAATTTTACAAAAATATGTTTCACTTCAAATCAAAGGAAAAATTTTTAGTCATTGTCAATTCCCTTTTAATAAAAAGAAGATTTTAAATTTATGTTTCTTTACATTATATAGAGTCAAATCTGAAATAAAAATATTAATCACACACTCTGTCAGCTCTGTTCACACATAGTTCATAGTGTAGAACCTCTTATTATTATTCATTATATTTTAATAGAAAATGAATGAGCAGATGCCGCTATAGTATAGTGTATCAAGTGTTAAACTGCTGAGTTCTTCATGCAATATTCATAAAATAATCCCAGGATATTATATATATGAAGATTGACATTGAACTTTGAGTTTTCAAAGTAAACATAGGCCAACAATTAAAAACTTCAAATTTAATTTCAAGATCATCGACTAATTGACTCACGTAGGTGAAAGGTCTAGTAGATCTATAGACTTTGTCTTGAGTATGCCTCCTTGCTCATACTCAAGGATAATACCTGAGGAAAAGAAAAAAAATATTTTATAATATTTTATAAAATACATATATATAGGCCTTGACCTCTGAAGTTGACCTGCATTTATGCTGAATTCACACAAGGCAAGGACAAGCTCGTAGATAATTTAATAATGGAGACGATAACAAAAAAGCAACAACCAACGACTAACAAGCAAACGAAAAATTTAAACAAACAAACAAAAAACGAAGTGGCTGGCCTAGCCTGCAGTCTAGCAGTACTCGGGTAGAACAGCTTTTTTGACCGAAATCTGTTGAGTACACAGGTCTCATTAGTAATTATTCAAGTCTAACTCTTTATCTCTGAGGGGCCCTTTTTTGGTGCTGAATCTAAAAATGACAAAATATGTCATTAAATGGGTCATTTAATTGAAACGAGCCAAACGTATTTTGATAGTTCTTCATGTAATGAATGGGAGACCTGTTTTCGGCAAACGCTGAAAGTAATTTGATGTCGAGGTTGTCATACAGGAATATATATGCCAGAGCCGCTGTCAGCGGCTCACCAGCACAGTGGTTCCGACCAGATAAAAAGAGTTTTAAAAATACATGCACTGTCAGTAAAGCACCTTTTGGTTTCATCTCAAATACAATACTTTAGATATTGCAAACTAAAAATTTATTAACTATTCAGTAAGCCTATTTTTTGCTTTTGTCAGTCTAGCCATCATACTATAAGTACAGCTAGCCCAGCCGTCTAGCTGTCATATAAGTACTGCTGGCCTGGCAGTCTAGAGCCGTCGAGAAGTACCGCTAGCCTCTTCCAATAGGCAGTTTGGTACCGGACACGTGTGCCGCTCTGACAGTGCCGCGATCGCCGTTGCGCGCGTGTGATTAAAAATGCTACCCACGCGGCACATCATATATATATAGACTCTACGGCAATCAATAGTACGCCATTTTGAAGATAAAAAATTAAACAGCATCAACCCTCTAAACCCCCACTCCCCCCCCCCTAAAAAAAAAAGCATCAGGGGATCAACATTTTCATTTCATAGAATGGCAGATTTATTACTAGAATTTTAACAACAATAAATGCAGCGTTTTTGTTTATATTTTCTTAACAGTGAAGAAATTACAGTGGAACATGTGTAAAACGGAATCGCAAGGGAGCCAAAAAAAAAATTCCGTCTTAGATAGAAGGGGAATTTAGTGGGGAGATTTCATTACAAAGGTCAAGTCGGTGGGTTCAGGGGTTGCTTGTCCGTAGCAAGCAGTGGTCAAAACTTCACACCTCTCAGCTCCTATCCTCTACCAGTGCTAGCATTTTATAGGACCACTGTTTGACGGATTAAAAACAGAAACGTTTGAACATCTTCTTTGCTTTCCCCTTAGCCCAACCCATCGGTGTAACAAGCACAGTCAACAAATGCCACCCCTCATTGCCATGCAACAATAATTCCAGGAACTCTTTTCTCGGCTGGCTGTATGATCAAGGTGGCAAACATTGGTCAAACTAATTTCACACCTCTGGCTACGACCAATGAAAGTTTTCGTGCTGGAGGGCCACTCGAGCACTTTCACTGGCACTCATGAGATTTCCCACCAACACCACCCTGATCATCTTTATCTCTCAGAGCTCACGTGGGTGGGGTAACATCTACCCTCAAATTGCACCCCTCGGAAGGTAGCAAATATTTTTCTTTCCGTAAAATTCCACGTTGAACAGGTTTCTGTTTTATACAGGCAATTAAAGAGGGTAAATTTTTACTTTCACTCCTGCACACAGATGCACTGTTTCAGGGGTCAAACTGCAGTACTGTTTGCTGCAGATCACACATAAAGCCACTAAAACTGTCGCAAATCAATTATTTTCAAGACAATTTCAAATCTAACTGTAAAATATCAAATTATGGGTAAAAACAGGGGGGCATGCCCCCCTGTAACCCCCCAGATTTTCTTTTACCCCAGTTGGGCAGGCCCCCCTGGTACCCCCCGATTGGTCCAAAGCACGTCTATCTCGGTCAAAAACAATCAAATATTTAGTAGAAAATAGACAACTGGTAGCTGAGTGTGAGACGGGAGGGAAAGTAAAAAAATACCTTAAAGAGGAATAAATCTATATCAAGGGGGGGACGGGGAGATTCCGTTAAGACAGGTTTCAGTTTTAAACAGGTTTCTGTTAACAGGTTCGACTGTAAACTTGTCGCCTAAGAATGAATTAACCTGGGCCTGGAGCCTGGAGTCCTGATACTTGTAGTAGGCCTACATTAACTACATCAGAGAATATAGACTAATAAAAACAACATAATGAAAAAATGAAGATGTTGGTGTTCATGCTCAGTAGACTGAAGACGTCAGTCTTTGCCTACTTATTGTCGCGTCAAAATCGCGAACAAATGCCGGCCCCAGCTGACGCCACCACTAACGGACGCCAACTCTGCAGACACATTATTCAATCTCGGTCTTTACTTACTCGAGGTTCACATCCCTTTTCTAAGCTTTTATCAACACCATAGAGGCAACATTCAAAACTGACTCTGAGGCAGACGAAATATAAATAACAAAACTTACCCGGAGGGTAATATCGCAGAAGAAACCGTTTCAGCTTCATTTCTATTGCTTAGTCCAACTCGCTTCCAGAAGCATTCAACATGGCGACATAAACTTCCGGTGGCAAGGGATCCCCAAATTTGTTGAAAATAAAATATATGCTGATAAAAAAGTTTTAAATCTCACCCTATGAATGTCACATAGAAAATCAAAATGAAAAATATATTATAAAATACTTTTCAATTTCACAAGCAGTATTATCAATGTTTTTGTCGAAGTAGAGAGGCTTTATAGAAAAAAGTAATAAGAATGTGCAAGAATGGGCAAGAACTCTTGTTGAACAAATAATAATCCAAGATGGCGTCTCACGGGAAAGGAACTAAGTAAGTTTGATCGGTTTGATCAGTCGAGGACGTTGTACAATGTTACACAACTTATAGTCAGTGTTGTTTGGACTATAATGTAGGATACGAAAGTTTATAAAAAATTCTGTACAATCCCTCTTATTCTGTTACTTATGGACCTGTCTCAAGTCCTCGCTACTCTTAGAATAATCGGAGTGTCTACGTACACGTTAACCGGGCACGTAGCCTGCCTCAGGGTCTACGTACATGGTAACCGGGCGCGTGGCCTCAATATCTACGTACACGGTAACCGGCAATCGGGCGCCTCTCATTATCTAAGAACACGGTAACCGGGTATTTAGTTCCGTGGGAGAGGGGGGCTTGAGCTAGGTGCAGGGTAACTGCTTTGCTCCCTTCATGACGTTGACATTAATTTTTCCTTTTTCACCGTGTATTCTCAATGTTGCATACACGGTAACCTTGCGCGTAGCCTCAATATCTACGTACACGGTAACCGGCAACCGGACGCCTCTCATTATCTACAAACACGGTAACCGGGTATTTTGTTTTGTGGGGGGGGGGGGGGGGGCGCTTGAGCTAGGTGCATGGTAACTGCTTTGCTCCCTTCAAGACCTTGACCTTTTCCTTTTTTCTTTTTCACTCCGCTTTTTGGGGTTGTGAGTGGGCGGAATGTAATCCCACTAATGATCCCAATCTACCCCCTGTCATCTTTCCTAAGGGAGAGCCAAATGCAGTTACACTGAAAACCTACGAATCTAGAACAGAAAGCTAAAAGCACCAACCACTCACTAATATACTATCTTTACACACACCACACTTACAATCAAACACAAAATACATTTATAAACACAGAGAGAGAGAGAGAGAGAGGGGCGGGGGGTGGGGAGGGAGAGGGTGATGATACTGAAAATCTGCAAATCTTGTACAGAAGCTAAAATATAGAGATCTAATTTACTGTCACCAATCCAATGAAACGCGAACACTTGTAGGGACGGTAGATGGTAATGAGGATTACCCCAGTTTTGATCAAAATAACCCTAAAAATGAATCCGAAGTCTGAAGGGACACAAATCAGATGTGTTTTCGTGTATTATTTTGCGCATTTTAGTATGACCCATCATAAGATTATTCGGAGTCATCTTCAAGATCGAAGTCACTAGATTTTCATTTGAACTCAAGTCTGATTAATTAATAAAAACAAATATTATGTTCGGACTCTGAATCGAGTTCAGTATGATGTCACTTCCGACTTCCTTCTTTTTTAGTTTTCAAATTTCTGCAGTAAAAAACGTGAGTTGCCTCCGAGGAATGAAGGACAGAAAAAAAGCCCGAAAGCGCACCCCTTTGATACCAGTGTACGGGCAAATCGAAAATACACAATGAAAAAGGGGCCGATTAGACACAGTATGGATCGATGAATTTACACAACCGGGTATATTACACCCAGGTTTCTCTATATGTGGCAATTACCACACAACTACATGTAGATCTACCCTTGTTTCTAAATATTTCCAGCATTGGTGAAAACAGGTCTTTGTTACTGTTAGTTCATTCATTAGATGGAAGATGTATTGAAATAAATTCATTTGTTTAATATATATATGTCAATTTTAGATTTCATACCAAGAGAGGGAGTTTACTTACCCCCCTCGAAGGTAAAGAGTTAAGGTATGGTCAATTTTGCGAAGTAATGATTTTTATGTGAGAAATTATGACGCGGATTTGACTGTTGCATTTACAAATTCCTTTCTTCTTGCAGCAATCCCAATGTGAAAATCGCTGCAGGTGCTATGGTCTGTGAAGACTGTGAGCTGATAGGAGACATCACAATTGGTGAGACTTCCTTGTGAAACTCAAAATTAGCTATTTGAGGATTGTGTGGTGTTGATGTGTTACATAATATGTTACAGCTATATCCCCTGTGGAAGGACTTCCATAATGTGCGACTACCCCAACAAATACAATAATATAAAGAAGAGACCTAACCCTACCCCTACCCTTACCCCTATCCTTACCCCTACCCCCACCCCAAACCCCTAAAACCCTCTATCCGACTCTGTTTCATAGTGGTCGCTCTTTACAGAATTCCTCTCTCCCCTTTGTCTTTCTAAAACTCTTTTGTACACAGAAGATTCCACAATTTTACGCACCCAGGTGCGAAGGGTGTTACCTTAAAATGGCTATAATACAGTCAAATATCGATGGATTTGTTCGTGTGGGCACTCAAATTATTCATTATAATTGGACAGAGAATGGCAATATCAGTAAAAATATGCAGTAAATGAAGCACAGGGCCATGTGAAGTATAGATCTTGGGGTTAGTGAAAACAGTATCCTTCTAAAAACACTACTTAAGTGGTGACTAGAGCTGGAATCGAAGAAATCTTGAATAGAATTACTACATGAGTGCTCCGGCAGTGTGAAAGTACATGCCTTGCTTTGTTTATGGTGGGTTGCAAAACAATGATTATAACTCCTTTTTAGTTGTGCAGCATGAGTCATGGGTTTACAAGTGAGATCATGTGTTATGAAATGAGATTTCTATGTATGTGTTTAGTATGCACTGCCAAGAGCGAAATGCTCACAGCTAAAGGGATTTGTACTTAAACGATTTAACAATCTGTGTAAGCCATTCAGAAGATGCTGCTGTATAATTTCAGGGTCTCGAACCATCATCCACCCGAAGGCCAAAATTGTCGCTGAAGCAGGGCCCATTGTTATTGGAGATTTCAATATCATCGAGGAACTAGTGACCATCACCAATAAGTAAGTACAGTAGTCTTCGCCTAAACGCACAGACTCACTGAACAAGTAGCCTACGTAACAAGTTCTTTGAGCAGAGCTGATCACCTGACTAAATCATTAATCCTATAGAGACCTCTATTGTTCTACAGCATTCACACTCATTGCGCATCTTAGGCCTAAACATTGCAGTCACCTAAACACCAGTGAGAAACCTTCCGTCTAAGATACATTTCGAGTAACCAATGAAAAGACATCTCAGTCAACCTAATAGACCGCACACCCTATCCTGTTTGTAGACATTCCGTCCATAACTCTCATTGTTCTGCACGAGAAGCAGCCTCTCCAAATATCCTGTTGTCTAGACTTGTCTTTGTCATCATAATGCAGGCTGTCTAGGTTGTTGCAAAAATGTCCCTTTATCAAGCTTTACCTGTTGACATATTTCAAAGATGGAAGCCAGCATTAAGAGGAAGTGACTGAGTGTTTGCACATCTAAATTATATAGCAGAAAATCTATCACTTGAAGAAAGCATGGGTGTGAACAGATCATGCCTGTGTGTGGCGTATGTTTAGGCGGAGACTACTGTTTTGTCATTATATGGTACAGATTTGGAACAGTTAGTTGGTTGGATAGACTGCTACAACAGCATACATGAGACAAATAATTGGCTCGATAGACGGATGCAGATCCCCCAGCATGTCATGGACCAAAAAGTTGGCTGGATAAACTGCTGCAGCAGCATAATATAATATGGGACAAATCTTGATCTGAACTAATGGCGCAATCTCCTGACTTTCCCCAGGTCCTCCAGCGATGGCAACAGTGGCAAAGTCCTCATCATCGGGAACAACAACGTCTTTGAAGTCGGTGCCAGTATCCTTGTCCAAGCGTTACCTTTGACCCTGTTTTTGCATTTTCTTTGTAGTCGTCCCTGGTACAGTGACTCACTGGCTTGGGCCCCTCAGTGCGATGCGTTTTTTTATGGGTGCTTAAGACTGCCATCAATCTATGCGCCGACTTAAAGTTTGTGTATTCGTGAATTGATGCATTATTGCGCCAACTAAGACGGCCCAATGTCAAAGGCAAAACTACTTATCACTTTAAAAAATCCAATTGACAGTTCGGGAAAAACCTATTCAGACCCAATTGATGGAAAAGTGTCAAAGGTCATTCCTGGGGCTGGGCTTGTAACGAGTGATCAGAATAGAAGAAAAGTAGAATGGAAGGTTGAGACGAGACACCAAAGTAAATATCACTAGTCACACACACGCGCGCACACGCCCTCACACACACACATGCGCGCGCGCACACACACACATGCACACACACCCGCACACTATTGGTTTTATTTTCATAAGTTGATTTTCTCCCATTAGCTTAATTGACCAGAAGCTTGATTACTTTACATTTTTTCCTTGAATCCTCTGTTTTTAATGGGGAAGATTCGAGAAAAGCCCACATTTTTGGCCTTGGGGGGGGGAGGGGGGGATTCTAGATCTGGGTTCCTGTTATTTTCTTTTGTTGTGGCGTCGGTGGCCTAGTGGTTAGGCTACCGGACTCGTAATCGTGAGGTTGCGGGTTCGAGAGTTCAAGCCACGGGCCCGGCGTTGTGTCCTTGGGAAAGGCACTTTACACGAATTTTCCTCACTTCACCCAGGTGGGAATGGGCACCTGGCCATAGACAGCGAAAGATCTTGTCAGTATGTTAGTGTTTTAGCGCCTTTATAAATGGCCGCTTGCACTGTATGCTTCCCAGGAAGTTGAGGTTTTTTCAGAATGCTCTGGGGTCTGCTGGGGTAATAGTATAGATTGTGAAGCGCATAGAGCTTGCTGTTGAGCGCGGATTTGCGCTATACAAATGCTATCTATTATTATTACCTATCTTGGATCCAACACTTTACAACACTCTTGAAAGCAGTCAAAATGACCTATTCATATTTCACTGTATTTAGCATGCCATGAAATTTAGCAATGTTTTGTGCTTTCCCCCCCTGTATGTTCATGTAATTTGTAATAGTGTTTCTTTTGGTGTAAAATCTTTAACGCAACCAACACCAGATGTCGAGGCAATTAGAATCGGGGACCACAATGTGATAGAAGGCAAAGGTGAGTCTCTTCCATTTTCCAACGCGATGTTTATTTGTTGTTGTACATTCCTGTTTTATTTGTAAACCAAAGTTCTATAAAACGAATGATCCGTGGGTCGTTGGCGGGTGCTCTGGTGTGATTTGCTCCTTCTTTCCTATCAAACATCTGTCATCTTTATCTTCCCTCCTTCTTTTTTGTGTTTGTTACAACTCGCTTATTGTGTCACAAGTGCCGTTTAGCACTTACTAAAAGACAACCCCTCCCCCCCCCCCCCCCCCCAAACAAAACCTGCAATGCGATGTTGATTCTTTGTATGCAATGTTTATATTTGTGTTGTTGTTTGTGGGTGGTTGGAGGGTGCTCTGGTGTGGTTTGCTCCTTCTTTCCTATCAAACATCTGTCATCCTTATCTCCCCTTCTTCTTTTGTGTGTTTGTTACTCTCTTGTAACACCTCTAATCTTCTGGCGCTCATATGACCTTATGCAGTTGCGAGCACCGTAAAACCTCTACTGAAAAAAAACAAACAACCCATTTACAAACGAGTACCAGCCAACCTAACATGAGCATACACACACACAATACACAGTATACTGTGCCCATTTCCCTCAGTTGATCATGCATTTGTGCACGCGCAAGAATTTTCCTCTCTTTAAAATAAAAACAAACAACCCAAAACCTGCAATGTGATGTTGATTCTCTGTATGTCATGTTTATATTTGTGTTGTTGTTCCCAGCCAGCGTGGGCTCCCAGGTGGAGGTGTCCAACGGCTGCATCATCGGCGCCGGCTGCCAGCTGAACATGCCGGAACTTGTGCCCGAGAACACGGTGGTCTACGGGGGGAAGTGTGAGCGACGGACTCAGAGGGAGAGACCTCCGGTATGTGTGTGGGGTGTATGTGTGTGTGAGGGGTGTGTGTGTGTGTGTTTATGGGTGTGTCGGATGTGTGTGTGTGCCTGAGAACAGGGTGGTCTACTGGGGGAAGTGTGAGCGGCGGACTCAGAGGGAGAGACCTCCGGTATGTGTGTGTCGGATGAGTGTGTGTGTGTGGGGGGGGGGGGGGGGGTGCCCGAGAACACGGTCTACGGGGGGGAAGTGTGAGCAGCGCACTCAGGGGGAGAGACCTCCGATATGTGTGTGTGTGTGTGGGGGGGGGGGGGGGGGTGATCAAATGTCCAATATAGCATAGGGAAATAAGATGTCCCCTAACACCACAGGTTTTTGGTAGCGACACTTGGAGGGTTAAACTTCTTCTGATGAGTTCCACTGGCCTGGCAAAGAAATGTCCCCAGCAGCAGTATTGAGCTGTACAATGATCACTATTTAACTATCGTCAATTTTTCATCTACATTTATTTCTTATATCAGTAGTCATGGAACAGTAATTAAATTAATTTACATTTAGTTTATCAGACTTTTTGAAAAATGAGTCAAACATCACTTCAGCAGTTTAAAATTAAACAAATCATATTTTTTAAAATTCTTTGGGTTTTTATTTTTGTTGGAATGTTCTCCTATATTTTTTAACTTTCCATTTAGTTTGGTCTGGGGTTTTATACTGGTTAATTTTCACCGTAACTTTAACAACAACAACGACAACAACAACAACACATTCCTCTACCCACAGGCACAGACGCTGCAGATAGATTTCCTCACCAAGATCCTGCCCAACTATCACTACTTGATGAAGCCCAACCTACAGCCCAGACAAGCGTCCGTCAAGAAGTGAATCTTTTCCTCTGTCTTTTGTCACAGTGGAGAAAGAAATGATTATTTTATTGTTAAATCTATAATTTATTTTGGTGGGGGGGGGGGGGGTCGGTCAAGGGATGATAAGCTTATAGACAACAAACATTTCTGTGATTTCTCACAAGCTGAGATAGATGGTGGAAGTTTTTAGTGCTACAAGATGCCACAAGGTGCCGCAATATGGGACAAGATGCTTCAAGACATGAAGAGATGCTACTGGATGTTTATGATTGCTGGAAATATCCCCCGGAGAGAGTTGGCTTGATTATGACGATGTCTGCAGCTATTTGTCTGCTTTCGATTTCGCATATTTTGTCAAAATTATGTTTTTTAAAGCAAGGCTTTTTGGGCTAATTATCACATGCTTTGCAACTTATTAGGGTTCATCTTGTTTTTACAAGGGTGGGAGATGTGTCTTTGATATGAGATTGGTTTGTAAAGATGTTGGTTTTGTTGCTTGAAAAGTGTTAACTCTTTATACCCCATGGTAATAAGCCTGTTCCCCCATCGGATGCTGGGAGCGGTCAGTACTAGTGACAACTGTTTCTTTTTATTTAGTGCTAGTTCTTGCTTGTTTTTTGGAACTATTCCCGAAGCAAGTTTATTAGTAATGACTAAGCTTTTGTTACTGCCATTTAGAAGTTACAGGTAAGTTTTTGGGGTTATAACGAGACATAGTGGGCCAGGTTTAGGTGACTGTAAAAAAAAACTCCGGGAAACGAGATGTTGGCAGTAGTCTATAACATAGTGGACATCCTAGTTACTTGAGGTAAGAGCAGAGAATTAGGAAGCTATTGGTAAACTGTGAAGAAACTGTTGTATTTAGATGGTCTTGTCAACTCCTCACAATATTTTTACCATTCTCTTTTTCTTCATTGCCCTAGTGTTGTGGTTTATAAATTAAATTCTGATACAGAAAATGAAGAGGAAAAGTGTGATGGGAGATATAATGGAAACTGTATTGTCTTCTTGTGTGTGGGATTTTGATGCATTGAAGGAACTGGTATCATCTGTGTTAGGAATGGGTTTCTATAGGATGAGATTCCCCGTGTCATGTATCATGTAGATGTGGGCAGGGGTTTGGATATGCTTTGAATTTCTGCTTGGTGTTGATTGGTGCTTTTCCCATCTGCTTTGTCCTCCGTGGGAAGAACTTTTCACGTCTTCTGCCCCCTGTACGGTATACCTTGATGAAGAACCTTTCCTTTTTACGCAAATGGTTACTGGATTTGAATGATAACTTTTGTTGAGGTGAAGGTGAGTAGATAAGGGAGTAGTGGTGAACCTTAAAAATGTTTCTAGTTTTCCCCCTTGGTTTCATATATCAGTAAGATTTCTGTGAAGAGAGAATGTCTATGATAGTGTTGACAGCTTTTGGGCATTAGTGAAGACACGAATGTGAGTGGATGATAAAACAAAACTCATGGGCCCTGTGCAATGTTGTTGTGCATTTGCTATCGTTTTTCATCTGATGATTTCACTTTTTCTGTTAGTGCCTGCTCTTCAGTTCTTGAGCTCTATGTGCTTTAAACAGGTGCGAGAATCACACGTTGTTGAGAATCATATTGGGCCCAAGGACTATTTTTAAAGTTTTCGTTTTGGGTGTTTGACGGGTGCTCTAGTATGGTTTGCTCCTTCTTTCCTATCAAAGAACTATCGTCTTGATCTCTCCTCCTTCTTTTTTGTTTTGTTACTCGCTTGTAACACCTCTAATCTTCGGCACTTATATGACCTTATTGTGTTGCAAGTGCTGTAAAACTCTTACTAAAAGTAAAGCCATGGTTGTAATGTATAAAATGATGGGTATTTGTTGATTGTGTTTCGGGAAAAGATGTGAGAGTAATATTTTCTGGGGGGGGAAATCGTTAAATCTTTGCCTTACAGTTGTAAGGTTTGAATAAATACTTGACTTTCAATATGCATTTGAGTCTTGTGATGATAGTTTGGGACTTTTTGGGAGAAGATTTCAAGTGTGTTAACGTGAATGAAGAAAGTGAGTCCTGGCATTTTGGAGTTGAGCAATTTGCAGCTCTTTCTGTCAGCATGTATGTGTGTACCCATTATTTAGATGTCATTTTGTGTTCATGGTAAATCAAGGTGATTCAGTGTGTGGGTGTGTGTGTGGGTGTGTGTGTGTGTGTTTGAGACTGGTATATCTAAATCTGAGCTTTGTACATTTTAGTTATAATGTATCATACTTTAGATTCAAAATGTTTTGTTGTTTTTTGGGGGTGAGTGTGTATAAAAGATTCCTTGTTAATTATTTCACTGGCTTATAAATGTCCTATTTCAATATTTCAATAAATCTGCTTTGTTTCCATGCTATCATTATATGTTTTTGCTTTTTTTAATAGGAACTTTAGTGGGTGGTTGGCGGGTGGTCTGGTGTGGTTTGCTTCTTCTTTCCTATCAAACATCTATCGTCCTTATCTCCCCTTCTTCTTTTTTATGTCTGTTACTCTCTTGTAACACCTCTAATCTTCTGGCGCTCATATGACCTTATGCAGTCGCGAGCGCTGTTAAACCTCTTCTAAAACAAACATAATAGGAACTTTTTAATCAGAGGCAAGAGAAGTGAGCAGAGTAAGCCTGACAACTCTATTGACATCCGCCCCTTGGCGCTCATAAGATCTATGCAGTTGCGAGCGCCGTAGAACCAAAAACCATGAAGTTTTTGGTAAAACCTTACTAAAACAAAAACCATTCTTGAGATTTTCTGTCTGTCTAGTTCTTCCAAAGCACTCACTCAGTGGCCACCTTCGGATCGTCTTTATTCTTACTCCACCTTAAAAAAAGGCGTTGTAATCTCTCGATCTTCGGCACTTATAATGATAATGGTATGATCTTATTGTGTCACCAGTGTCAAATGGGTGGTTGGAGGGTGCTTCTATCGTCCTTATGTTTCTTCTTTCTTTTCTTCATTTATACATGCATGTTACTCTTTTGTAACTTCTAATCTCTCATCATGGGCACTTATAATGGTATGATCTTATTGTGTCGTCAGTGGCAAGTGCCGTAAAACTCATATTAACCCTATCCGTACGTCGTGTTTTACTATCGTATCCATACGACGTGGGGAACTCTGTGCCACAACTTTAACCCTTTCCGTACGTCATGTTTTTATCCGTACGTCATGTTTTTACTATCGTATCCATACGAATAGACGTGTTACAAGAGAGTAACAAACACAAAAGAGGAGGAGAGATAAGGACGATAGATCTTGATGTTTGAAGGAAAGAAGGAATAACCCATACTAGATTGATAAGCAACATAGAAAACAGACAACAAAAACCCATGTATGAATTTTTTTAAACCCCAACAACAGAACACCATAACAAAAGCAAGAACATGTTTCTAAAAAAAACCCATTTAATATGAACAGTGGTTATCTTTTTATTCTTTACAAAATATGCCAGATAGACTGTCCCCGTCGTTTTATGCAAGAAAAATTCTGAAATTATACAAACTGAGCCCAAAAATGTGAAATTATGCGATTCTGTTTTTATTAAAACAAAGAATGATAAAGGAAAATAAATCAGAAATTATGCCGAAAAAAATCATCGAATTTTGCTAAATTATGCGGGGTGCATAAAACCACGGGGACAGGATAGACATCGGCTCTCTAGTGATGCCTAAAACTGTAACTGTAAGGTGCACGAGTCCATGATGTAGATTGTAGACAATGGTCGGGCTCTAAATACCAGGCAACGTGCATACAATGTTCAGTGTATCTATCTATCTATCTATCCATCTATCTGTCTATCTATCTATCTATCTATCTATCTATCTATCTATCTGTCTGTCTGTCTGTCTGTCTGTCTGTCTGTCTGTCTGTCTGTCTGTCTGTCTGTCTGTCTATCTATCTGTCTGTCTGTCTGTCTGTCTATCTAATCTCATCTAATCTCTTGTCATGTTTATATTACAACACATTGGGGGGGGGGGGGGGGGGGGGTCATCCTTGGTTCGTGTATCAGTATCATCTCGTTTTTCTGTCTGGTGTAAAATGTGGTTGAATTATATTACTGTTATCATATTGTACATACATTAAATAGACATGGTTTCTGCTCTGGCTGTGTACCCTCATTTTGTATAATAATTATTATTGTAAACATTCTTCCTGTTTACTTGCATCAGTATTGCAATGCATAGCCACACTTGATTTCTCACACATTGTTGTATCTTCACCGGCTTATTTACATCGCCAGATTTTCATAATTAAGATTGGCGTGGCTTACAATTACATCGCCAGATTTTCACCATAAGGGTTGGCATTGCTTACAATCTATTACATTGCCAGATTGTCACCATTAGGGTTGGCATTGCTTACAATTTATTACATTGCCAGGTTTTTACCGTTAGGTTTGGCATTGCTTACAATTTATTACGTCGCCAGGTTTTCATCGTTAGGATTGGCATTGCTTACAATCTATTACATAGCCAGGTTTTCATCGTTAGGATTGGCATTGCTTACAATCTATTACATAGCCAGGTTTTCACCGTTAGGATTGGCATTGCTTACAATTTATTACATTGCCAGATTTTCACTATTAGGATTGGCTTACAATTACATCGCCAGATTTTCCCCGTTAGGGTTGGCGTATCTGCCCGCGAACAGGTTGATTCCCTGGACCTTGTCCCGCAGAAGGAACATGAAGGGCCTGTCCAGAATGAACTCCGGGGGCAGGGACAGAGTGGCGATTTGAACCCCTGTCGCCGCGGCTGCTACTGTGCCCTCTTCATCCAGCTCAATCACCGATCGGTGTTCGACCTGAAAGCATAAATATAAATGAATGATTAAATGAATAAATAAGTAAATAATGAATAAATAAGTCACTAAATATAAATACATTAATTAATTAATTAAAAAATATCATATAATCAAATGAATGAATGAACGAATGAATGAATGAATGAATAAATAAATAGATAAATAAATTTATGAATAAATAAAATAATAAATGAATAAACAATAAATAAATGAATAAATGAAAGAATAGATGAATAAATAAATAAATAAATAAATAAATGAGTGTGAATGAATGATCACACCCTTTTAGGGAAAATGCCAGCCTTGAGTATTTGACGGACTGAAAATATGATACATCCACATCTACTATTTTATATCATTTTAGTTTTAGTAGAGGTTTTACAGCGCTCGCAACTGCGTATTAAGGTCATATGCGTGCCAGAAGATTAGAGGTTTTACAAGAGAGTAACAAATATAAAAAGAAGAAGGGGAGATGAGGACAATAGATGTTTGATAGAAAAGAAGGAGCAAACCACACCAGAGCACCCGCCAACCACCCACTTAGATCATTAAAATTTGGGAGACGGCGAACCAAGAGAAGAGTCACAAAGAATTGAACGATGTACAGAAAAGTGGGAAGACACGAAAGAGTAATACCAAGACTGCTTGGGGGCTCTCGTGGCCTAGAGGTTAAGGTGTTTGCCTGTCATTCAAAGGTCCCGGGTTCAAATCCGAGAAGCGACCGAAAACTTTTCTTCTCTAAAATTGTCTCCTTTTACCTTCATTCTTTCTCTCTTGCAATATTCTGTCGTCTGCTTTCGTCCCCACTTTCTTCCCCCACCCCCCTCACCTCCTTTGCCTCCTTCTCTGGGCTCCTGACTCTATCTGCAGCCTTTCTACTGCAACTTCTTGGCTCCTTCTTACTGCTGTCTTTCAACTACACCCCTGATCTTCTGTTAGGAAAGATCTACACCTAGCCTTCTCGGACAAGGGCGAAAGACCTCGGAGGTCCCATGTGCAAGTTGTGAACGTTAAAGATTTCTTGGCCTAAAATCGATAAGAGTAGCCTTCGGCCGCCACCCGGGCAAAATTCAAAGTTTCCTACCAACTGAAAATGTTTGGTGTGTCCCGCGTGCTCATATAACCTTCTGCAGATGCGTTACTTACGTTATTTCCTTACTTTGGGGGTACATCGAAACTGAAAATTTACATCTATTATGCATGTTTTCTGTTGTTATTTTTTTGTGTAAAATCCCCACAGAAATGTGTTCATTAATGGGCTTGAAAGATGTTGAGCCAAAAAAAAATTCGATAAAAATTCCCAAAACTGCAGAAAAATGCCAGTTTCCTCACATTTATTATTTTAACGAGAGCCTGATTTCACCACACTGCCTCTCTCTCTCTCACAAACTCACACAC